CTCAGCCAAAAGAAAGGAAAAGAAAAGAAAAAGGGCAGTGGCTGCGAGAAATTCGTATTAGAAAGAACCGTGAAGATTGTGACTGTTCAAGTGACGGTCCTCTTGATCGTCGTTATATATTTGACTGTTCAAGCAAAAGATAATCCAGTACAGTCAGAAACGAATTTTCTGGGGTCCAGGGTTGATAAGCCACTAAAATTGTCGAAAGCTTCTATGGTTAGTAGTCAAGCTCAACCCAAAGACAAGTAGGGATAGGATCAAGTTGACTTCAGTCACCATAATATATTTCATGAACACTATTGATAATCTGAAAACTAAACCCTTCATTAGCAACACCATAAGCTTCGGTTTCAGAGATCGAGCTTGATTCTCTAACCAGGATTCCAAGAAACACATGACGGGGTCGAGCTCAACTCTATTTGGAAGACAAATTTTGACTTGAGGGCCATGTACAAGCCTGTGAGTTATGACCAAGAGCTTGTGTGACTAAGTATTGTTGAGGTGGTGCATTACTTATTGAGTAGGTTATGTGCTTTCTTAGCAATGAGACTGACTCACCAACAGCGTTTTGCAGGTTTGTCTAGATGGGAGAGAACAGGAGATCGAAATCTTAAGATAAGAGTGTGCAGCGGAAGTTAAATGAAATCCGAGTTGTTACAGCATGACTATCCCAATTGCTAGTTCAAGTCGGAACTAAAATATAAATCTTTTTAGCTTGACATAGGGGAAAATCTACTCTACCTTGTAAGTTGTATTGATAATTTGTAATCTCAAACTTGGACTCAGTTCTAAATTCATATTCAGATGAACTCTTGGGTAAAGGCATTGGGCCATCAACAAGGAGTTATGCTTCCCTCCCTTGTTTACGGAGCTCCAAGTACCGGTCGAGATGTTGGGCCTGGGAAACAAGGATGACAACATGATAGGGGAATTTGCTTTATCCGATTGTGCAATCTTTTGCTAGAACTCTTTTATTGCACAACATATTTCGAAACGGGATACTTTTTTAAAACGCAAGGACATATATAAATTTTTTTCGGATAGATAATGTCAGTGCTATATTACCAGCCTTGATTACTCTCTTTTTGAAGAGGAAAAAGGGTGAGAGTAATCGATCAGGGTGGCTACTTTCTTTAGACATTACTAAGCCCCCAAATTTCTACAAATCGCACAAGAATGGAACACAGATGAAAGCCATCATCGACCAATGCCGCCTTCACATGGTGCTCCACCATGACTTGGGCGTCTATAATAGACATCATCCAGCGGAGGTCATTATTCCCCTCGAAATTAAGTAAAAGGTACCTGTTATAAAGGAGTCTTCTCCGGCGGTCATCCCATTTAAGAGGCCGGGCCAATTGAGGGATAACAATCGGTTGAGGTACCGATGGAGCTTCGAGAGAGTAACCAATTCTCCGGCCATAGAATATTTAGCTTGGGAGTTCACTGAGTTGCATGATCTCCACCGGACCACTGTGAGATGGCTTTTTCCCGTCACACAAGAGTGTGTGTGTATATATATATATATATATACCTTCATTTCAAAAGTTCAATTTGGGCATAAGCCCAATATATTATTTGAGGACAAAAGTAGTACTTCAAGCCCATAAAACTCAAAAGTGTTAGCCCATCATGATTGCCCAACGGGTTGTCCTTTTCTTAACCCAAACACATTCCATTGCCTTGCATGATGTGAGCAGTACATGATATTTCAAGGTTATACTTTTTCCAACAATCTAAGGGTTCATCTTAGTCACGGATTGCTCGATGAAATTGATACAATCGTAACATCTTAGCATCATTTAGACAAAAATAGACTCAAATCTTCAATTCCTTAACATGTTTTGCAATCCTCACAAAGAAATTTACTACACCATAATATAAAGAACAGAACACCAAAAATGTCAAAATTTTTGTATGGTGTTTGCTTCAATGCCAAAACTTTTTGAGCAATCACTTGAGTGTCACTTGGTAAAAAAAACATCCATTTAAGTGACATCGGCGATTTTCTTAGCCAAAAAATCCAACGTGGCAATAATTTATTATAAATCAGCTAACTTGGCTGCCGGAGAATTTCAATCGGCAAAAAAAAATGTCATTAGCCCTTGTTCTTTTCTCCAAATTGACAAATTGAGGCTAAATTAGAGCCAAGAAACAAATCCTAACTCTCATCCATTGAAATTACAAGTAAAATTGTATGTGATCAGTTGCAGGAGAGAGCAAGAACCCCAAAAGAAGTAAAGTCGAGGTCATTGAAGAAGAGGAGTTGTGAGACCTTGGAGTGGGCAAGAAGGATGAAGCAAACAGGAAGGATGAGGGCAAGTGTGATTTGGATGAAAAATCTTCCTCCAAGTTAGGACGATCTTGTAGGACTCTCTATATAAGTCAAAAAAACCCAAGATATTGCAGCTCATGCTAGTCTCTATTATTTTTTTCCTTTTGCACAAAAAGTAAAAGAATTGAGTGATTGTTGTTCTAGTTCAAGGTGATTCTTGAAGTAAAACAAGCAAAGAGATATTATGGGAAAAGTGCCAAAAAAGTCTTAAACCTTTTGCATTAGTGCCAATTTAGTCCTAAACCTTTTTTTTTGTGCCAATTCAGTCCTAAACCTTTTGCATTAGTGCCAATTTAGTCCTAAACCTTTTTGGTGCCAGAGTCCTAAACTTTTTAAATTGGTGCCAATTCAGTCCTAAACATTTTGTTTTTGTGCCAATTTAGTCTTCCGGTCAATTTGATCGGAATTTGCCGACGTGGACGCCTTGGCTTGGCGGCGATCGGTCACCGAGCACCGCGTGGACAACTTTAATAATATTTTCATTTTTTTTGAATTTTTATTTTTTTTCCACTTTTTTTTTGTCCCCCCCTCCTTCCTCTGGCCGGTTGCCCGTCCGGCGACCAGCCAAAGGCCAGAGGCTGGCGAGCCTGACCTCGTCGGCCATTGGCGAGGGTGGCGGCCTCGCCCGGCGAGGGCTCGAGCCTCGCCAGATCCGGCGAGGTCGGGCCTTGCCCGATCCGGCGAGGTCGGGCCTCGCCGCGGCCTCCGGCGAGGGCTCGAGCCTCGCCATGGTCGTGCGAGGCCCGACCTCGCCGGATCTGGCGAGGTCGAACCTCGCCCGAGCAAGGCGAGGCTTGAGCCCTCGCCGGAGGCCGCGGTGAGGGCGAGCCTCGCCATGGTCGGGCTAGGCCCGACCTCGCCGGATCTGGCGAGGTCGAGCCTCGTCCGACCAAGGCGAGGCTCAAGCCCTCGCCGGAGGCCGCGGCGAGGCGAGCCTCGCCATGGTCGGGCGAGGTCACCGGCGAGGCTCGACCTCCCCAGATCCGGCGAGGTCGGGCCTCGCCCGACCATGGCGAGGCTCGCCCTCGCCGCGGCCTCCGGCGAGGGCTCGAGCCTCACTCGACCAAGGCGAGGCTAGCCCTCGCCGGGCGAGGCCGCCGCCCTCGCCAGTGGTCGGCGAGGTCAGGCTCGCCGACCAGAGGAAGGAGGGGAGGACCAAAAAAAAAAATGGAAAAAAAAAAGAAAAAAGAAGGAAAAAAAATAAAAATTCAAAAAAAATATATTATTAAAGTTGTCCACGTCGGCGCCGGTGACCGGCCGGCAAGCGTCCACGTCGGCAAATTCCGGTCAAAATTGACTGGAATGACTAAATTGGCACAAAAACAAAAGGTTTAGGACTGAATTGGCACCAATTTAAAAGGTTTAGGACTGAATTGGCACCAATGCAAAAGGTTTAGGACTGAATTGACATCAAAAAAAGGTTTAGGACTAAATTGGCACTAATGCAAAAGGTTTAGAACTTTTTTGGCACTTCTCCCGAGATATTATGTAAAGCTTCTCATGGTAGATGAAGATGGGGTCGTTGGGCACATATATCATCCATCAACTATATCTTTGTCCTCAAGATCTCAAGCATGAAACATTTGTTCGTGATCAACAGCTTCAGGAATCGGTCCATGCCTTCGTCATGGCCCTCTTTTCAATTCAGGTCTAGCGCATCATAGCTCTCCTCGAAGTCCTGCAAGGATGTGGATTCAACCGATGTGTCTCACCGGCCTTGTCTTCTTCTTCACTTCAAGGCCTCCTCCTCCTCCTCCAAGTGTGAAGAACTGATCCCTTCTTCGCCCATTCTTTGGATTTTGTCATCCCAAATGGCAACGAACAAGATTTGGAGCACCATGAATGCAAACTAGAGGCTAAGACAAAGAGCTCTGTATCTCCATCGAGAAAATAGAGCTTTGCTATTTTAGCTAGAGAGTGAGAGTTTTCGCCAACTTTAATAAAGTGCAGTCATTCACTTTGCTATGTTGAACGAAAAATTTTCCACGCTGGACTTCGATTTAAAAAAAAAAAAAAAAACCTATGTCGAGGTCAAAATTTAATTTAAAAAGTCACATAGGAAGAATCGCAAGAGACATATAAATAATCGTTTTTCCACCGATGGGAGCACAGAAGTGATCGCCCAAAAAATTTTGACATTGAAGTATACTTCTAGTTATGGTACTTTTAGTTCCCTTTTCTCCGGTGACATAACCCAACCCCTTACCATTCTTCAATCACCCCACAATGGGGATGGGCGGTGGCTGTCCAACCCTTCCTGTATGAGTTCTTATTCGCCCCAAACAGTGGTAAGCTGAGGATGGCACAGGCTTTTCCGCTCCCAGCCAACCATTCTAAGAACTCGATCTATTGGTTGCCAATTGATCTCCCTTAGTTATTTAAAAATGTTCGAGAGCGTTATCCTTGTTTTTTGTCAGAAAAGTGTATTGCTCGTTACTCAGGTAACAATCGCGGGTACAAAAAGTCAGAATCGGCACAAAGAAGAGCCCATAGGGCTTCAGGGGGTTTGGACAACCAACAAAGGCCAGGCGTCTATCTCTATGTGCTTTAACCAAATAATGTACCATCTTGTTCGCATTTCTGAATGGGCCAGGGATAAATCATCAAAGCCCATTAACTTCCTCTTAGCTACACTGATAAGCACCTCCCCATTAACTTGCCCTGTCAATGCTCTTATCAGAACTAAATTGTCTGACTGGAGTTGGAGACTTCGTGTGCTTAGAAAATCTAGAGTTTCTACTAGAGCTCTCGCTTCTGCCTGAGCTGCTGAAGTTACACATACAGAATCCGTCCACCAATTGCAACGTTGCAATCACGGCACACAGCTAATCGCTCCTTCCGTCGAGCCCTCTGCGAAGGATCAGATCTGAGGTGAGTCTTCTTCAACAGAGTCGTTTTTCCTTTCCAATTTGTTCCATCTGCCGATATTCTGATGCATGGCCCAAGCCGAACTCAGGAGATGCCATGGATTTGGAGTTTGCTTGCGAAAGGTAGAATTGTTTCTGGATTTCCATATATGCCTAAGAGTCAACTGCTAAAAGCTCAAAGGTCGCCGTGGTACTCTTGAAATTCAACAGCCATTCTTTAATTTTAACGAGCACGTCATTATCGATGAGGATCTGGAGGGTGGGGTCTAACCAAACTTGGCATGCTCAAGGGTATAACAAGAATATATCCTCCACAGCCTCCGGTTGTCGACTGCGCAGCTCACATGTATCCTCTTCGGTGATTCTCTTCCTTAATAAGTTTGCTTTTGTTGGTAATGCATCCTGGCATATATTCCATAAGAAGAGCTTGATTTTTGGGTTGGTATTGGCCCTCCAAATCTTTGTCCATAGGCTTCGAGGGGTCTGATAAAAGGATCGGCACTGCTTTTCGTTTTTCTCCCTGCATTTGTTATACCCACTTTTCACTGAATATACTCTAGACTTTGTGTTTGTCTAGACCAATTTGTCCTCCTGTTCATGTGTATTCAATGGAATTCCTAGGATTTCATTTTTCAATTCTTCATCACACAGTTCATTCGAAGCTAATATCTTCCAGGTTGAGTTATCTAGGTTAATCAGTTCCGCCACTCTCTGAGGCTCTCCTCTGTTAGCAGGACCGCCAATCACTCCTCTGGAAATCCATTTGTCTTCTTTAATTCTGATATTTTTCCCCATTTCCCATTGACCACATGACGGAAGGACTAATAGTTTCTCAGCTTATATGAAGGCTTTACCCGCCCCACTTTGGTCGAGTTCCCCTACCTGCTCTCCAAAAGTCACAGTTCGGGAAGTGGAGTCCTTTTAAGATGTAGCCCCATAAAGAATGATCCTGTGCCAACCGCCAAGCTTGCTTTCCCCGCATTGCTCTATCGAAAGTTACCAAATCTCAAAAGCCCAAACCACCTTTATCCTTTCTGAGTTTGAAAATCTCCCATTTTCTTTGATGTAATACCTTTCTATTCTCGCTATTATTCCTCTGACGTTAAATGTTCTTTCCAACCCTCCAACTTCGTAACACCCATGACAAAACCCAAGCGAACATTTGTTTCTTAGATTCACCCCAATAAGAAGGTATCCCCAAATATTTACCCGTTTTCACAATTTCTGGGACACAAAGTTCCATTAACAAGTTATGCTTGAGTCTTTGAGGACACTTTCTACTAAAGAATGTTCGCAATTTGTTCAGATGTATGGCCTGGTTGGATGTGTAGCAATATTGATTCAGAACCTCTGCTACGTTTTGACATTCCTTTATAGTCCCATCAAGGAAGAAAATAGAGTAGTCCGCGAACAATAAGTTTGTTAATGAGGGACATGATCTCTTCAATTTTATTCCTTTTATGTCTCCTTTCTCCATGGCCTTTTTCATCATGCAGGAGAGAACATTAACCACTTAGATGAAAAGATATGGGGAAAGAGGGTTGCCTTGACGAAAACCTAGAGAGCAATATCCTCTGATTGGCGACTAATTTGCCAATCCCAGAAAACCATGGATCCGAAAATTTTCCGGTCAGTAACAGCCTTCTATATCACATGGGCTTAAACTGTCAAACTGAATCTTGGGGTTGCTAACTTGATTTGCCTAAGTTGATCCTAAACAAGGGAAATCATAAAAACCCAATTCCTACAAATCCACTCTTGATCGCTTTCGCTAACTGTGTCGATGAGATTTACAAATTGCTATTCCATTTCTACTTAGCCAACCCTAGTCCATAAGTTCAATTGCACTATTGTTTACAATTACAACCTGTCTAACATAGAATGCAAATAGGAAGAGAAGAAGAAGCAAAAACAAGACCCCAAGATTGGCAATAGACAGAAGAGAATAGAAGAGAAAGTTCGTCAATATTCAATCGTAAAGTTAACAGTTATGAAGTATAGGTTCCTATTTACGATGAACAAAAGCAAGAATGTTGATAAAATGAGGAAACCAGACACTCTGATCAGTATAATTTCAGATATATCAAAAAATTTCATCATAGATTTGAAGCTAACCATGTAAGAATCTAGTAGGATTCCCTTTCTACATCAATCTTCCCCACTGAGAAGAACTAAGTTCATATGAGTTTCTCGTGCTTCTCTTTCTTGACTTCATCGATCCCTTCATAACTTCAGGCCTTGCAAAATCAGAAGGAAACTTTTCACCTTCATTGCGAGGAAAAAATGCCACGCAGACAACGGCTTGCGCAATGTACAGTGCTACGATCCGAGTTCTTGATCATAGGGTACAAGTGACGATCGAAAATTTTGTCATCGATCTTTGAATCACCAACTCTTCAACATGCACTCAAGGCTCAACACAATCTTTTTAGGAATTTTCTACTCTGATTGCCTGAGTCAAGTTCGTTTCAGTGGGGGACAATGGTGTAGTACTAGATCTACGTAGAGATTACAATTTAATTCAATTATCTTTAGATTTATTAATATTAAATTAAAATATATTGTGCATTTGTTTCATTGAAAATTTCATCTTAAGATAAACATTTTTCCATGGAAATTATTGTCAAGGAAAATGGTTAGTTTTCATTTGTTTGGTAATTTAATTCTAGTTATTTCCTTCTTACCAAATGGGGAATCATTTTTCCTCGATGTAAACTTGTTGTTTGCAGTTCAAGAGAAATGTTTTTCGTTGATTGATTAATTTTCCGTCATCCAAACACCAGAAAGTCGGAAAATAATTTCTCCAAGACAGTTTTCCTTCGAATAAACGGATCCTTGGGTAATAATGTTTTATAGTTAATGCACAAATTTTGCGTTTCATTAGTCAATCGCGCGTACCCGATTGATGCCCTCCATGGCCGGCGATCTTCCCATCATAAAAAAAGGTTCTTTGGGCTTTTATCATTGGGGACCCTCCGATACTTAAGTCGGTCGATATTCATAGTGAAGAATGAGAGAAAGAATAAGAGGGGATTACTAATCCCGGATTAGTACTTCAGAGGGATAATCAAACATACCTCCATTGTGGCCCATGAACCATGGGTTTCGTTAATGGGCCTTATGATGGGCTTATTGCTGTTTGAATTTCACATGACAGGATGGGCCTGCCTTCGAGAATTAGATGGTTCCAAAGCTAACTTGTGGCATAGCATTGGACTGACCCACGCTTTTGTGCCTCAGTTGGTGTTTTTTGAGGAGCGCACCTTGAAAGGCACGACCTCCACGCAGGTGGCATCAAGATTGGCTGGAGCTCGTGGCCATGGCTGCTCGACATTGAGCTCGCAGAAGCCAGGTCTGGAGCTCGCCGCCAGCATTGGAGTGATAGCTTATAGCCATCGCCGATCAAAGCTTCGAGCTTGCCAAGGCAACCATGGCAACTGACAACAATTTTTCTAGTAAATAAAAATTTCCATGCCAGACGAGAAAGACAGGGAGCACAGTAGATGCAAGGGCGACGAGGGCCACCATGGATGCAAGGATTTCGAGGTCTTCTCAAGGCTTAATGGTGGAGTAGATGCACAAGTGGGAGAAAAATTGGAAGTACAGACAGAATAATAGTGATTCGCGATTGTTTGTGTGAGTTGAGAATTGATTGAGAGCGTGTGCGTGTGATTTGGTTGATGGGGCTTTTCCAATTCATCCAAGTGAAGAGTCTGGCATAGTCGGTTGGATGTACAGCTACAACTTTTGCAGGTATAGGCCCCCATAAAACACCAGAGGGAATCTGAAGTTTTACCGACTAGCCTAGAGCTTAAGCGCATCAGAAGCCATATGGAAGACATCATCACTCTAGAACTTATAAAAACACCCGGAGATAGCAACACTTCCTATGGCCTTTTACTCTAGGCTGGGCTGAAACCTTCGCAAATGCAGAAGCACTCTCACCGTGGGAAGGCTCGGTGTTTGAAAATTGAAGCAACTCCCTCTGGGAGTTCACAATCTCGAATTCCAATTATACAAGACATGTTAACTCCACCAGGCATGAACTCCTAATGGGACTCGTGATTAGCTGCTCTTTGCCAAACTGTGGCACACTTGGCTCTGTTTGTTTCACACAAAATTATCTGTCTGAAATATAATTTCCTCATTTTCCAGCGTTTGGATTGTTTAGGAAAGTGAGTCAGCATAAAATTCTTTCATGGTCAATGGAAAATATATACTTAAATTCAAAAATGATTTCCTCTTTTAAAAATAAAAAATCATTGTCCAAAATACGACTAGACAACAAAGCTTGGACCAAAGACATAGGCACTTGGGCATGGGATCCCCGACGCCCATGCTTTGCTCCTCAGCGACCGGGCTCGGGATCTCGATGCCCGTGCCCAGGTCCCTAAAGGCCTTGCTCGGGTATCCAGCTCTCGGGCTTGAGTCCATCAAGGTTGGGACTAGTTCCACAATGACCAGGATTGGATCCAGAAAGGCTGGGCCTAGTCCCTCAAGTTCAAGCCCAAGATCCCAAATGCTTATGCTCGAAACCCTAATGATAATGCTTAGGTACCTGAATCTTGTGCCCAAGTTCATAAAGGCCAGGGGTAGGTCCTTGGTCACCATTCATAGGACCTCAGCGGCCATGCCCGGGTACCTAGCGGCCATGCCCGGGTACCTGGCACCCATGCCCAAGTCATCGACGCGCGTGCCCAAGTCTCTAGCGGCCATGCTCGGGTATTCAATTCCCACGCCCAAGTCACTAGTGCTGGGGCCCAAATCCATCGAGGTCGGGCCTAGGTCCCTCGAGACCGAGCCCAAGACCCCAGTGCCCATGCCCAAGTCCATGGCGGCCATGCCTAGGTGCTTGGCTTTTGCACCCAAGTCACTAGCACCGGGGCTTGAGTCCATCAAGGCCAATCCCGATTCCTCGATGGCTGGGCTTAGGTCTCTCGAGGATAGGCCCAAGATCGTAGGTCCCCGGCGGCTGTGCCTGGTGTTGTGACCCTCCCGCGTGATCGTGTCAGGAAAAAGACGAGTTTAGAGATAATGCCCAAAAGGTGGGATGACGGCCCTTTATTAGGCGTGAGGTCTCTCAAGCCCTTACCTTGCGCGACATTCGAATACATTTAAGTTTGATTTAGCTAATGAATATTCTATGTGAAACGAGAGTCGCAACTAGCCTATTATGGTTGGCTAGAAACTAAGTGAGGCACGAGAAATTGCCTCACTTCCTATGCAACCAAAGATTTTCCAGGGTCAAGGACTTTATTACACTAATAGTTTCTATTAGTGCCCTTTCGATATCTCTAACTTGATTGAATTGCTCATCTAAGTGATCAAGCGGTCTTTGTTACAAATTATTAATCATAAAGGTTATTAAAGTAGCCAAGTGTTCATGCGATGGTTTTTAAGGATTTATTATGGTCCTAAAGTTTATCCTAACAGTGTTAAAAATAAAAAAAGCAATCAATATAATAAAAGTGCAAGAATTAAACACCCAAGTATTGAAAAGCTTAAAGTAAAGTACGAGCAAGAAGCCCGATACTTATCAAGCAAAGAATATGCATGGCTTATCCCCCATGAGCTTGACCGATACCAAGTCAGGTAAAGAATATTAAAGGCCTTGTTCTTTAAGCCCCAAGACAT